CAGGAGGGTGTACTGAGATGTGAAAGCAACATAGAACTGATTCATATATAATATGAAATAGTTCCCGTCTAGGGAATATTTTTGGAAAATGAATCAATATTAATAATAGCTTGTTGATCCTAGCAGGGAAAAATAAAATGTGTACATAGACTTCCCATTAAAAGCCCGCTCACCTTTATTCTTCATAGAGCTTTTGCATAGACCTTTCAGTTATCCAAGAGACTGGTCAGAACTCTACTTAACATCTACCATCTCCCTTTATCACAAATATTTTAGATAAAACAGTAACTTTATTTAGAAGAGGGACAAGTGAAAAAAAACAAGTTTCTGACAACCACAATTAATAAAAGACCTTACAAAAACAAACAAACAAACAAAAACAATCAAAACCCCCAAGCCCATTTGCCGTTGGGTCAATTGTGATTTATAGCAACTCTACAGGACAGAAGAGAACCGCCGTTTAGGGTTTCCAAGGCCATAAATCTTAAAAGAAGCAGACTGCCACAGCTATCTCCCGCAGAGCAGCTGGTGAGTTCAAACTGCTGACCTTCTGGTTAGCAACTGAGCACTTTAATCACTGTGCCACCAGAGCTCCAAAATATAAACCCTGTTCTTGTTGTATGAGGTTTCTGAGGAGCGGCTGGTGAGCTTGAACCTCTGATCTTGCGGTTCAAACTAACTTTGCAGTACAGTGCATTAACCCACAACGCTATACTCCGATATAAACCACACCAGGACTCCAATATAAATCTTGAAAGGACTAAATTAGCAGAGCACACTTCCTGCCTGCTCTGTGGGGTATTATGCGTTTTATGATTCGCACAGGGAGGATAACATGATTAGAGCCTTCAAGAGGCTGCTGAGATGGGTAAGCAAACGTCTGCATTTACCTGAGACAAAAATGTTCAAATGGCATGCACTTCAACCCGATACAAAATGGAAAAGCCAAACTAGAAGATTCCATGGTTTAATATTTAAAATTTGCAAGCTTTCAGTGGACTCTCCACCTTGGTAGCCGAAAGCATATAAAGATATAACAGGACAAATGAGCTTGTTTGACAAAAGCAAGCTGGCAGGTGACGGCTACGTATTTAATGTATCTTTGGTTTAGGAAGACGAGAATATCGATTAGCGGCCAAACAATCCCCAGAATGAAAATTGCCATTCAGAGTCTGCACAATCTCTTTTCTTCGTGTTAGTGGTCTTGGGATGCTTGTCTTGGCCTGAAAGTTTTGAGGCTCTAGTCGGGGGTTGCTTATTTGTTTTTGTTTGAAAGAGCTAGAAGGGGGGCGGAGTTTAGACACTTTCAGATTAGGATTATTTGCAAGATTTGTTTGACTGGATGTTAGCTGAAGATTTGATGGATTACATGGTGTGGTTATCAGCGACTTCTTACAAGTGGCAGTCTTACTTGGAGATGATTCAGAGACTGGAGGAGGTACCACAGAATTCAAGATGGATGGCTTTAGAAGTTGCAAGGCCTTAGGCTGCGACGCAGAGCCCACAGGAGAAGACTGATTTCTTACAACTCTGTTAGCCTGGTCGGCTGTACTTGACTGGGGAAGTGTTTGCACAGAAGTAGGTACAAACTGCATGTCATAAATGTTATTATTTGCCAAATGGTAAGGCTCTGAAGCATTCATGGTTGTGCTCGGGTTTGCTTCAGAAGGTGCACTATTACTAGTGAATTGTGGGCTTGACGAAAAAGGCAGTTCATCCAGAGCAGACTTGCTTTCTTGTTGCCAGCCATGTGTGAAGCTTTCGTCCAGATGTGCATCTCCCTGATGTGTGCCCTGGGGAGCACGTTCACTGTGGGCCTCGGTAAGCTGTGGTTTTGTTAGTTTTCCCTGGCCGTGCTCTGTGGATCTGGGAAGGCTGCTGGAAGGCTGTAGTACTTGAGGCTGTTAAAATTAAAAACAACATTAGCACTGAGATATATTTACAAGGATCAAAATTATCATAAGCTCCAACTGGACTGTTTTGATGACTATCATTAAATATAGGAAAAAATATTTTTCATTGTGTGACATGAACTGCAATATTCAAGTGAAGCCATGAGACGTATACCAGAGTGATAACACACACACACACACAAAAATTTACAGACAGTACACACTAAACAAGACCCAAAATTAAACAAGGGAGAAGAAACCTTCAAGTACTAACTTACTATAGGACAGTGGCCTGCAGAGGGGATTCATGGAGTATATAAAATCTTAAATGTAAGAGAGCTCAGCAGAATAATTCCCACAGCACTTGGCTTAATCTCAGTAAAACATTCAGACGGTGACCATAAGAACAGTCACCATTTTAAAGGGGTTTGGTTTTTTTTAAGGACAGTTGTCTACCATATTACCACACTTGATGTGGAGGAAGTTCTTGAAAGTGTCAAAATGCTATTGTCTCTGTTGAGAATCAAAAATGAGCAGTAGACAAACAGGTTTAGAATAAAGATTATACACTCAGTCCATAAAAACAGGCAGTGAAGTGGGTTACTCTATGGGCTGTGAACTGCAAGGTCAACAATTCCAATCTATAGCCACTGTTCAGGAGAAAGAGAAATGACTTTCTGCTCCCACAAAGATTTACAACCTCACAATCCCTATACAGCAGCAATCTAGCTTTAATATCCTTGTTGAAAAGGTTCAGAATGAATTCAAGCTCACTTGTCCTGTCCTATTTCAAATGAGATCGCCTAAGGTTCTATTATGCTGATATGTGGGGCAAACAGCCAGATTTACCCTGCTCAAACTGAGTATCTATTTAGTCAATTACAAGTTAACAGCTATCTGAATGACGGCTGAGAGTAAAACAGACAGAGATCGCCTCTAACTTGAGCTCAAGAGAAGTCTACCAACAGCGATGCCTAGAATAAAGAGCACCGTTCTTAACAGCACGCACCCACCCACTCTAGAACTTACTGTGTGGTTACACTGTATCAGTCACAGAAAATACGCAACTGCCATTACTTTTAGGTCTTTGGCAAAAGATTATAAATTTTAAAGTTCTTTTTCAGTGTCTCAAATAAATCAATATGGGGCAGAGTCTACCCACTGCGGATGAGGAAGCTTCAAAACGTTTATGGAAAAACTACACTAACTTTTCATTCCATTTTCCACAAACTTTTTGGAAGCCTCATTATAATACTGATGGCTGGGGGTGAGTGCTATACATGTAGTCACCCCCACACACTTTTATTAACTAATGTGAACTGGAAACGTCAAGGAGTTAGGCAACGAACTTTAAAGGATATTTTGT